AATCTTAATGGTACAAATATTTCCTCCCCTTCACTCTTTAGTTAGAGGTCTGAGCTGTACATACCTGGCCTGGGAGGTAAAAAGGAATTAGTATCTACTCCCCGGCACCCAAATAAAATCGCTTTACCCAAACTACCAGTTTAAGCATTCTTCTTATTGAAGCAAATTTGTCTCAGAAAAAAAGTTTTGCTTTTATTTTTTTAAAACGAATTATCAAGTAAACGGCCTGATTTTTATTAGTTCTAATTCTATGACAAAAGTCTATGTTTTCATTGTTATAAGGATTGTGTAGATCAGAACTTTATAAACAGAAATGTAATGAATTATAATTTTTCTATATTTTATAATTTGTCCATAATATTTTCTATTAAGGACATAAATATTACTAAAAATAGTAATTTCTTGATTTTAGTTTATCTTTAAAAAATGGGCAACGAATGTATGCTAAAGAAAAAAATTCAAAACTCACAATGGTTCATACATTTAAAAGGAAAGTAAGCTAGGCAAGGCGGCACTCACCTGTAATCCCAGCAACTCAGGAGGCTAAGGTCGGAGCATAAGTCCAGATCTGCCTCAGCAATTTATTAAGACCCTGTTTCCAAAAAAAAAGGAAAGAAAAAAAGAAAGAAAGAAAAGAAAAAAAAAAGAAAAGAAAAGCTGGGGACGTAGTAATAGAGTAGCACTGGGTTCAATCCCCAGTACTGCTCTCTCAGTTCTCAGTATCTCCTCTCTCAGTTCCCCTTCCAGATCATCACCACAGAGGTGTGTGTAAATGTAGCATTTTAACACGAATGGCAGCATATCATATTCAAAGCTTTATGTTTTTACTTTTACTCCCACCACCACCACCAATCCTGAGGATTGAACCCAAGGCTGCATCCCTAGCCATTCTTTTTTCTTTTTTTTTTTTAAGATGTTGATGGACTTTTATTTTATTCATTTTATTTGTATGTGGTGCTGAGAGTCAAACCCAGTGCCTCTCACATGCTAAGCAAGCACTCTACCACTGAGCCAGAACTCCAGCTGCTAGCCATTCTTATTCTTATTTATTTTGAGACAAGATCTCTATTTCCCAAATTGGCCTCCTGCTCCAATTTGTGATCTTCCTTGCCCCAGCCTCCTGAGTTGCTGGGATTACCGGAGTGCGGGACCACAACTGGCTTGACTTTCATTATTATTACTGGAGACTGAACCCAGAGGCACTTTGCCACTGAGTTATACCCCCAGTTGCTTCAGGCCTCACTAAGTTGCTAACCTTGAATTTGCAGTCCTCCTGCCTCAGAACTTTTATTTTAAAACTTCACGTGCTTAAAACTTAATTCCTCTTTTTTAATGGCTCCAGTTTATTGTATAGATGTGCCGTTATTTAATTAGATGAGAGATATTGAATTATTGAGAGATGTTTAAATTATTTCCAATTTTCCTTTCCTCTTTTTTTCTGCTGATGCACACCATATACACTATTCTGTGTATATGTACACTTCTCTATGATGTATTCTTATTAAATGAGCAATATTTTTTAAATTGTGGGGTTTTTTGTTTGTTTGTTTGTTTGTTTTCTAGCAGTACTGGGGATTAAGCTCAGGGCCTCCTGCAGATTAGCCAAGTGCTCTAGCACTCTACCACTGAGCTATCTCCCCGGTCCTTTGTAAAAAAAAAATAAAAATAAAAATAATTAAAAAAAATTTGAGACAGGGTCTCACTAAACTGTCCAGGCTGGCCTCAAACTTTGTTTGTTTTCTAGCAGTACTGGGGATTAAGCTCAGGGCCTCCTGCAGATTAGCCAAGTGCTCTAGCACTCTACCACTGAGCTATCTCCCCGG